GCAAGAGAGACGTCGAAACTTTGATGCGAATAAGAAACAGCATCACGAGGCTGCTCTCATGCTCCCCCCAGACTACACCGATATTGATTTTCATGAATCAAGAAGAGTAGGAGAGCTGAAGGAAAGACCCGAGTTTGATGTCAGAAGTGGTATCAAGCCGTCTCGGCCGTACAGGGACATTGAGCTACCCCAGTCCGCTGGGCTCATTCCAGCACCTATCGCTCAATATCTGCGAGACTATCAGGTGGTAGGAGCCAAGTTCCTTCATCGCAAGTTCGTCTTCCAAGAAGGGTGTATTCTCGGCGACGACATGGGTCTTGGTAAAACAGTCCAGGTAGCCGCATTCCTGGCAGCTGCATTCGGCAAGACTGGCGACGAGCGGGATGATAAGCGAATGAGGGAGATTCGGTTTTGCCCTGGTCGCTGGTATCCCAGGATCCTCGTCATTTGCCCTGGATCGCTTATCATCAATTGGAAGAACGAGTTGAACAGATGGGGGTGGTGGCACATTGACATATATCATGGCATAAACAAGGACGACATCATGGGAACAGCACGATCGGGGCTCCTTGAGATCATGATTACGACCTACGACACATACAAGAACAACCGGAGTTCTATTAACATGGTGCAATGGGATGCTTGCATTGCAGACGAATGCCACCGACTCAAGGATGGGTCGTCCGAAACGACAAAGGCCATGAACGAAGTAAATGCGCTTTGTCGTATCGGACTTACCGGAACCGCCATTCAAAACAAGTATGAGGAACTGTGGACACTTCTTGACTGGACAAACCCAGGACATTTCGGGCCCAAGTCGGAATGGATGCAGACCATCAGCAAGCCTCTGACAGTCGGACAGTCTCACGACGCAACCGTAGCCCAACTTAGTTTGGCCCGACAAACCGCTAAGAAGCTCGTTGAGAACCTCCTGCCTCGCTACTTTTTGCGGCGCATGAAGACCCTAATTGCAGATCAGTTACCAAAGAAGACGGACAGAGTCGTCTTCTGCCCTCTCACAGACTTACAAGCCGATGCATACGAGAACTTCCTCAGCTGTCCTGAGATCCATCTTCTACGCACCATATCAGACCCATGTCCACACGGCAGAAAGAAAGGCTGGTGCTGTCAAACCCGCCTCCCGGATGGCAGACGATGGCCCGCCATCGTATTCCCAAGCATGATTACGTTGCAAAAATTAGCGAACCACCTCGCGCTGCTTACGCCGTCAACCACGGACCTTGAAAACAAGCATAAAAAGGAGCTGGAAACGCTAAAGCTATGCCTTCCAAATACATGGAAGCCACTCTACGAACAAAGAGACCAGATTACAAATCTTGTCAACCCCGAGTTCTGCGGCAAGTGGAAAGTCATGAAGAAACTGCTAAGGTTCTGGCACCAAAACGGCGACAAGGTGCTTGTGTTCTCGCACAGCGTCCGGTTGCTCCGTATCCTACAGCACCTATTCACGAGCACGAGCTACAACGTCAGCTACCTAGACGGATCACTCAGCTACGAGGAACGACAAGACGTCGTAGACACCTTCAACTCAGACCCCGCCCAGTTTGTGTTTCTCATCTCAACCAAGGCAGGGGGTGTGGGACTCAACATCACTTCTGCCAACAAAGTCGTCATTGTCGATCCTCACTGGAACCCATCATATGACTTGCAAGCTCAAGACCGCGCGTACCGAATCGGCCAAACTCGTGATGTCGAAGTCTTCCGCCTTATATCACAGGGCACTGTAGAGGAAATCGTCTACGCACGACAAGTCTACAAGCAACAACAGGCAAATATCGGATACACCGCCTCATCCGAACGCCGGTACTTCAAGGGTGTACAGCATGACGAGGACAGAAAGGGCGAAATTTTCGGCCTGTCCAATATATTCACGTACCACGGGACGTCCAGCCTAGTGAGAAACATTGTGAACAACACCAACATAGCTGAAGCCAAAGCGGGCGTCGACATGGCAGATGTGGACATGGAACAGGCAGCCAAGGACGAGGAGGCGTTCGGTCCGCTGAAACGGGAAGATGCGGGCGCTGAAGACGGCGGTGTGAGTCAACTGGCTGCGCTTCTTACTGCTGAAAACCAACAGCAGCTCCTCGAGTCCAAAAAGTCGGGCGCGCCCAAGAGCGACGCCATCCAGGCAATCCTGACGTCGGTTGGCGTAGAATACACTCACGACAACTCTGAAGTCGTCGGCACGTCAAAGATAGAGGAGCAGCTCTCGCGCCGAGCGGCCATGCGATCATATGCGGATGGGGATACGGAGGGACAGAATGCCCTGTTTGCGAATTCCCAGGACGAAGACGATCGCGACATGCTACATAGCACATATCGACCGCCAGAGGATGTCTGTCTACGGCAATTCTGCTCAATGGCCCGGGAATTCGGGTTCGTCAATGCTACGGAATTTGCTCTTGTGGTGGAGAGTTGGTCGCAGGAAGCTAGGAGGAACTGCTTGGACACCTTTTATAGGAGGAGAGAGGCGCAGTTGGAGGAGGCGGAGAATCTGAAACTGGAAAGGGCTGCTGAGGCGGCAGTTGAGGATGAGAGTGTCCAGGACGATGAGAAGAGCGATCATGTGGCGCAGGTTAAAGATGAAGACACGACGAGGAGCAAGAACAAGGACATAAAAAGGGTGAAGAATGAGGATATAAGGAGCGATATTAAGGATGAGGACATCAAGGCTGAAGGGGTCACTTTGGGAGACATCAAGAGAGAGGGCATCAAGGGAGAGGGCATCAAGAGAGAGGGCATCAAGGACGAGGATGTCAAGGACGAGGATGTCAAGACTGTCGCCTTAAAGGAGGACATTAAGCCTGAGGACGAAGGCGAAACGAGAGCTAAACACCAGCCAGCCAACGCTAGTGATGCGAAACCAAAAACGTTCAAGGTGGAGGGCGCATCGAAACGAGATTCAATTTTTATTTCCGATGACGATGATGAGCTATAGGAGTTCTGAGAGAATATTTGTTTACGGAAGATACCCCCTTTTTTGTAATGTCAATGCTTCGCTGGCTGCGGCATGCACCTTTTCATGACTTCGTGTGTGCCAGGTAGGCTCTGGTTTTATGCTCATTTGGTCAAGACTCCAATGACATGAGGCAGAACGGCATAAGGGGGCTCGTCTGGTGAAGTTGTCAGATCAAACTTGTTCCAGATGCCGACGTCACGCAGCGTCTGATCGGTAGGTCTACAAATCCGGCATGACCCCATGAAGAACATCCAAACGCAGTTGACAAGGCCTACCCGATCGAATTAGTCACCCAATTTCCCCCCCCCACGAGGCAGAGGATCGAAGCACTTACGCTGATAAAGAGGCATGATAGGAAACCCTCGGGCCGTCTTGACGTGCTCAAACACATACCACGTACCGCCCGGCTTCAACAACTTGTACAGGTGCTCAATGTTCTCCTTGGGATCCGGAATACTGCACATGCACCTGATGCCAACGATACAGTCGACGCTCCCAGGCTCAATCTTGCCCTCCCACGCGTTAGGGTTCGTGACGTCCTCGATGCCTACAGGCACCACCTCATACACATCCCCCAAGCCAACTTCCTTCACTCGTTTTCGCAAGGTCGCCGCTGAGATTGGATTCGGCTCAATGCCATAAATCTTGGTGATGCCGCTTTTACCTCTTCCACTCTCACCCTTCCTACTTCTCAGCCCTTCTGTTTCACCATTCCCAGACGGGGCGTTTCTGTGAATGCGAGCCAGGACATCCGCCCACATACCGCTACCAGCACCAACCTCAAGAACCGTTCCATGCACAGGCGTGGATACGACATGGTCATGGACTTTTCCGCCAGACACTTTGCCTTCGAGGAGTGGAACAACGACTGGTTCTGCACCAGCCTTTGCCTGTGGACCCAACGTCACCCAGAGGTTTCCAAAGAGTTCTTCACCAAAGGCCAATGGCGACAAGAGTTTACCATAGTTGCCCGAGGACACGAGGCCGGCGATGGTACTAGGTATGTAGGTGATTGACAAGCCGATCATGAGCCATGGCTCGATGAGGTGCGTGAAGAGCTGCTGGATATCGGTGAAGATGGACATGGTGATAAGAGCAAAAGGGAAGGTGCATTGAGGGGGGGAGAAGAACGACTCCAAATTACATGGAACTGAATTCTTAGTAATTTGAGAAAATAAAAATAGAGGGGAGAGTGGTAGGGGTGTGAGTGAAGAAGGAGAAGGAGAAGGAGCAGCCTCAAGTCATGTGCCTACGAGCTTGCCTCAAGTGCCAGCTTCTGCCCTCCCGGTCCTCGCAAGGCTAATACGCCCTGGTTCCTTTTATTTACTCTGGCCGACTCCCGCACGCCCTTTACTTCATGCCCCAAATCGCCAAATCGGGCCACGGCCCTCCGCTCATGCGTTCGCAGAGGGGGGCCAAGCGAGGCAGTTTTCAGCCAATGCCACGAGTCGAGAGGCCGGGCCGTGGGGCCGAAAACACCGCCGTCGGGGTCCACCGACAAGCCGAGCTGCTGGGTGTAGCCTCCACCGAGAGAATATATATTTCCGTAACAAAGACAAAGATGGGCAAGCATGTCACAGGATGCAGTGACTCAGAGGGATGTGCAGTGGTTTACTATGGAAATACACAACACTCCAAGAAAGCAGGCAAAGATGTCCTGCGTGGTTTATGGATACCTTTAGCGGTTCTTTGGCCAGTACTTGTTGCGTTTTTAGGGCAATTTGACCCAGCGTGGGGTGAGCCAAGTAATTCATCATTACGAGCACGAGGCGGTTTGACCCGTTTTGGAAGCTCGCCTACCAATAGACGATGATGCTACAACTCCCAAGACTGAGCACACTGAAGAAGGAGAAATGTCCATTCTTCACTCACGACAACCGCGTTTAGAAATACTCGTTAGCCAAAGAGCCTGAATTCTCTACCAAGTCGACAATCGACATTGTCCATATCGCATGATGCTTGTTCCCGTGAAATCTCGAAACCGCCCCAACGCCGCAAAACGCCCGCCCCAGCTGCTCTACAGCAGCTCAAAATCATCCAACTGGTCCCTGTACTTCATGATGTTCCTCTTAATCTTGCTGCCCACAGACCACGTCACAAAGTCCTCGGTCGACCTCGTCACCAAGTACGCCGGGTCCGTCACCGTCTCGACACCCACACGCACGTGCCCCTGCTCAATCATCTTGGTCGCGGCCTGCACCGTCTCCGCCATGCGCAGCCGCGTCATCACAACGGGCAGTCGCCTCCTCGCAAAGGCGCTGACGGTGACGCTCTTCTCGACGGCCGAAAGCTTCGACGTTCCGGGCAGAATGCCCATGTCGTAGAGCTTGTTGAGGAGGAGCTCCTCGTGCTTGCGGCGAGTCGCACTTTCGGGGGGCAGTAGCGAAAGGCGGTGGGCTAGTTGTCTGAGGGACTGAGAAGGTGAGTCATGTCAGCGATAGGCTATTCGGGCATGCAAGCTGGCGTTGCATGCTGCTCAGCCGCACGAGGGTGGGAGAGAAGAAGAAAAACGTACGCCACAGATTCTGTTGTATTTGTGGTAATCTTCAGGTTTTTGAATCATGTATCGACGGATGACGGCTTTGTCGCGGTGGTCCTTGTCGGATTTGTAGGTGATGAAGTCGGTCTTGCGGAGGAGCTTTTGCTCGTGGTACTTGAGCTTGCGCACCATCTTGGCCGGCGGGAGGTCTGCAAGAGTCAAGTGCTCGTGTGTACAGCTTGCTAGCCGTTTTTCGAATCCTCAACTCGTGCCGCGATGGGCGAAATTTTACGAGCTCTGCGCAAAAAAAAAAGCAGATGCCCCCCGCTGATAAAGGTTTGTCGTGACGAGTTGCAAACTCCAAAAAGGCCGGATTGCTTGCACGGAGAAAATCCAAAAGAAAATAAAGTGGGACGATTCTCGACTCCCACCAACCAGGAGCTAGCTTCACACCTTACAACTTCATCGCTTTCTCTCCTCCGGGGTGTCCAACTTCACACCAGCAACAATCGCCAACCATGCCGCCGCGACTCCCCGTGTGCGCTCTGCGCGCTCAATGCTCCCCTTGGAGCGCTTTCCGCGCCTTCTCTTCCTCGCCGGCAGTCGCGTCTCCCCCCCGGGAGCCGCCTCACCCCCAGCCTCACCACCAGACGGCCCGGCCGCCGACGCCCTCGTCTAGCAGCAGTCTTCTCTCCATCAGCGCCGACCGCCACAAGCGCGCCCCCAGTGTGCGCGCCATGCGTCCCGGCGAGGCAGCCGCCAAGATGATGAACCGCTACACCGACAAGCAAAACCGGAGCAGGCTCGAGTCCGTCGAGGCGCTGAGGAATTCCAAGAATTCGGCGGATTACCTGAAGCAGATGCCGAGGAGGTGGGATGCGGGCGATGTGTATTCGCCGCACGACTTGAGTCCCGTGGAGATGCAGAAGTGGAGGAAGAGGTCGTTGAGGAGCAATGATGTCGTTGATGCATTGGGCATTAGGCCATTGGACATGTACAAGGTAAGGGCGGCGGCCCTCGATGAGGAAGTGCACGGTTTTGACGCAGGTCTGCTAACTTTTTGGTGCAGAACTTTTCTCTTGTGCAGGAATTCACCACCTCGTCGGGCCAAATCATTCACTCTGCCGGCACGAGCTTGCGGCCCGTCAATCAGCGCAAGATTGCCAAGATGATTCGTCGTGTTCAGGGCATGGGCATTTATCCCACGATTCATGATCATCCTGAGATGATTCGGGACGACTTCTTCCCTGAGAGGAGATGAAGTGCAGATGGAAACAGATGCAGCTTCGGAAGTAAGGGGAAGGGGGTTCAAACAAGTTGGTATCTGCCGAGAAGTGGGCAACCTCGTTGGCCGCCTATTCTTCATATCCCACTATATGTACAACAGCCTAAAGCTCCGTTTCATGTATAGATACAAATATCCAAAGACACATATGCCTTTTGCTTTTATACACAATCATGTCTTCATGATTCGCTTGATTTTGATTTGACAGAGGCCGTACTCGTTGAGCCGTCTGCCAACTTTGTCCAGCTCTGCCCATGTGGCTCGGTACTTTTTCTTTACCCAGTCGCGGTAGTTTGCTTGTAGTTCTTGTCCGGGGAGTGCGTTGTGCGCAATGGCTAGTCTGTTTCTATAGATTAGTATCATTGGTTTCATTATCCTCATGTCCATGGCAGTTCGTTAGACTCACGTCATTGAATCTGGCTCCGATCCAACGTAGGATGCCATATTCATAATTAGCCCACGCACTTCTTTCTCATTGCCACTTCCGGCCACGGCGCCCACGTATGCACTGTACACGGCTTGAGGCACTTCCAAATCCATCCGCTCGATTCTCTCCCAGATTTCACGGGCCTGCTTATCTCCACCGGATTTCTTTTCTAAAGCCCAAAACACTGCCTGTAAACTTGCATATGACGGACCCTCACGAGATTGGATAATCTCATTCCAAAAGTCCAATGATGTTGTCGGCTTGTCGCAAGCTGCGTAAGCCAGCATCAGCCCGGTGTACAGCTTTGTGTTGGGTTGGATAGTAGTATCCATCTTGAGCATGTTGTGCACCAAGACTAATCCCTCGGGATCAGGATTCTGTGCGACTCCCTCTAGATAGAGTATATACGTATCCATAGTAGGGTGATAGGTCTTGTTTCGGTGTTGACGCATGTGCCCAAACACATGGGAGGCCATATCGGGCCGTTTGCGGTCAAAGAACGATGATATCAGTTTCATCCTGAGCTCATAGCTCGTATCTTGGAAGAATTGTTGAAGAAGTTGGTACGCGCCCCATGCTCGAGATGTACTAGTCCCTTTGTCGAGACAAAATGTCACAAAGGCGTGTTGCACAACCTCTCGTTGCTGCTCGCTATATAGGAAAGAATGGAGAGATAGCAAATCCATTACGTCAAAGTGCTGATCATTCTCCAGAAACTTGACACAAAGAGCTGCTACGGTTTCCGGGTCTAGCAGCATCTGTTCCTCCTCGAGTGCGTCTAGAAGCGCAAGAATAGTCTTGAAGTCTGGAGGTACTTGGCGTGATAACAGAGTCAAATATTTATTGGAGGATTGACGAAAATCATCAAAGAGATCAGATCCATTTTCGTTGTTCCATGGTTCGAAGTGTTTGACTTGTTCAAAAGCGCGTTGTGCGCCCTTGAGGTCGACAGCCTCTAACCTCAGCCGCAACAGACGAAGATAGGTCTCTCCACTCGGCGCAAGCCCCCTCTCGGCACAAAGTGCAAGTATGCCTTCACCCAATTCCGAATCTTGAGTCTCGATTGCAACAGTCAAGAGACCATTGATGGTGCTGATTGTGGGAGCAAGCGCCCCGTTGCGATCGACCATATGTCCCATCATGGCTTCTACTTCCGCCAAGCTCCTCCCAAGTAGCAAGATGGACTGCAGTATAGCATCCCAGTGTTTTCTTTTCGGTTGCGACTGCCCTAGTTCAAGAATAAGAGGCCCTGCCCATTCCTGGAGGTCGTTTCTTCTCGCGAATGATGCTATGTCTCTATAAACCTGAGCCTGACAGTACTTTTGGTCTATTGGCTGGCTAAACCAATACTGAGTTTCGGTAACCTTGTCGTTGTTGGCAAAATATCGAACCATGACCGCTTGGATGGTAGCATCATACGGGACACCATGCGCCATGGCATAGTTGACTAGCTCGACAAGCTCTGCTTCTTTGCCTTCTCTCGCAAGTCCATGGGCCACGGATGCCAGCAGTCGATCCTCCTTGACCAAGTAGGCATGATAGGAAGGATCCGCCCACTTTGATTTCAACATTAGCAGTGCTTCTTCCGAGCCACCGTACTCGCATAGCATCTTGATGAAATAGCTCCATTGCAGCTGGGGAGGTCGAGCTTTGCCGGTGTGATTTCCCGAAGACCAGACTGCGTATAATGATTTCGCCAGTTCCAAATGATTTTCACTTCTCTCTTGCGGTTCGATATCGAGAAGAACTTGTCGTATCATGGACAAATCCGCCGAGGACAGCGACTTCGAGTGCTGGTCATGTCCGTCGCTAGTCGTAAGGTATTCAAGCAATCGGCGACATTGTAAGGCCTGCGTGCTATTCAGCGGCATCTTCCTCTTCAACTTGGATTGCATAAGCTTCCTCAATGCGTCTATCAATTCTTTCCTTGGCGGCGGTCGCAGATTATCGAGCATCCGACTTCTCCAAACCATGACTTGCATCCATCCTGGCTCATACTCGGGTTGTCGAATTTCTCGCGGAGGTTTCTGGAACAGCGCATTGAGAAATGTCCTCGCAAAAGTCCTCTGCACCACAGGTCGCGAAATCGGTCGTCGTCGGGTCGGAGGAACGCAGGGAAGACATGCTGGAGCGGACGTCGGCCGGTAAACTAGGAACCGGCGACCATGACGGGCCAGATTCACCCTCATGGTTGATTAATTCTAGGAGTTGATGGCACTTATAGAAGTAAGTGGATCGATCATTGAGCCAACAAAGGGTCGCATTCCACTTACAAGAACATTTTCAAGGTGAAAACCCTGGTCTGCAGGTTGAAGGCGTCCGCACCTTGAGCAGGTTAAAGCTATCTTCAGTTTGCTAGACAATTATTGCGGGTCTCATAACCACATACATACATGATGAAATCCCCGTGGTTTAACCGAAAACTTATCACCTCTGCCACCGAGTAAACTTCGCTCAGCAATCGTCTTCACGGCACAACAAGTATCGTGCAATAAATAAAGAAAAACCGCTGTATTCGTCCTCGTCCACTTAGTCGCTGATGGCGCCGAGGTAATAATTATTTTTTATAAACAGACAAGACCACCGACGTAGAGAAACTACATATAATGATACTGGTAAAAGCCAGTATCCACGACCCTTAATAATCGCATGCTCTCACCCCAAACGCCACCCTCCTTTCCGGTAGTAAGGTTCCCCCACGGCGACGATGCTCCCTCTACTCTGTTGACGATGTTGTAGTGAGTGTGTGTAACGAGGTGTGTTACGAGTGTGTGTAACGAGTCTGTATGACTTGATGTTTAGCAGGAAGAGAGGGGGGAAAAAAGCCAAAAGCCAAAAGGCCAAAACAAAAACAAAGAAGTAGCAGTATATGAAAGAGCATAGAATAAGCGAGCCTCCATTCTGTTTACGCAGATTATAGGAAATCACCATCTGCTCTTACTCTGCTGATGGGGGAAGTTCAACCCACCGAGTTTGTACCGTGACGAGCGAGGCATACGAGTATCGTGCAAGCGTAACATCTAATAATATAGTATTAGGCTGTAAGCTAAGAACAGTAAAAGACTAGAAAAATAAACCATTTATACGCGTATCATGACGCGTTACACGCACACCAGCGTAATTAGTGCTGCATCGCGCCCCGCTAGCTAAAGCCATCTCGCGATAGCCTCAGCCATCATCATCATAGAAGCAAAGGAAGGCTTTAATGAACGCGGAACCTAAACGCAGCACCAAGGAAGCTGCTAGAACAGCTCCTAAAGGGGCCAAAGGGGCCAAAAAGGCCAAGGCTGCCAAATAACACTGAATTGGTAGTTTCAATTTGTTCCGCAGACGCCTTATTTACTGTTTTATATATAATATCCTATAACCAGCTATCAGGTAAGACATAAACCCGCCAAGTAATTCACAGGCACACCATGCAAGCTCTACTACAGACGACCCAAGACTTTTAAGGTCTAGAGATCCAACATGCGAGGAGAACTAGACACAGACATAGTTTAGCAACAAGACAATAAATGCCTTTTCGCGGGCGGCTAATGCAAGTCCGCCGCATGTAAACCCCAGATTAAAATACTACGGTCAAGCTTAAAAACGCCACGCCCAGGGGGAAAAGATCCCACCCCAAGTATAAAATATGGCTGGGCCTTCTTTTAATAAAAAAAAAACCATCTTACAATTCATCTCCTCAACTACCGCTCAGCAACCATTTCTTCAGGCAAAAAACTCAAGAGCAACCAGTCTCGCTAGCGGATATGAAGTCATTGCTGGAAGATTCACCTGGCCCTTCTTCCCCTCCTTCTCCTGCTCCTCCTGCTCCTCCCCCTTATACCCCTTCTAATAACATTAAGGGAAAATACCGCGCTCATAACGACTTCCATTTTAAGGGCGGAAGTGCCCGAATCAAGCTGCAAAAAGACATGAACTTTCCCCCACTAATTGGGCCATGGAAGTACGACGAAAAAACCCACAACGATGCAATCTGGATAGCACATATGGACATTCACTTCAAAGACGTGTGCGCAACCATGGAGCAAGGCCTATATTGGTCGCAGGATAATATAGATCCTACCGGCTCTAAAGTCTTCCACAATTCGTGGGGTAATTTTGCTGAGGACGGCTTCACTCGCGGGCGTCAATTTCATCTCATTGACTTGGCGGAGGATCCCCAGTGGAAGGCAAGCCTCGTAGTTTACGCCCCCAAAGTCAAGGCTCTTTCTGAATTCCGAATCCAAAATCTCTCAGTTGATAATATTGCCGACATGACTGCCTTCACTGGAGACGGGAGGTGGATTTATGCATATAACCGAGGTGATCCCGGGCAAAATTTTAATGCCATTTACGATGATATGCCGCTACGTGGTTGGTGGCCGTGGCCTAAGAATGCGCATATCTAGGACGACGCTCTGGCTGTCACACGGTTACACGAGGGCTGCGATCTCGGGACCTGGGGCATAAGGCACACGGGCTTTCTTGTCCCAGGGCATGGGTCGAGCTGCCGAGGCGGGCAGACAAGTACATACCATGGTGCTGGATAAGAAGTGGGATTTGGCTGCAGGCGGCCCCCAGTAGGGGCCCCTGGAGGGGAAGATAAAAAAAAAGGAAGCTTTGGGAGATGATTGGAATCTAGTTGAAAGGCTCAAATTGATCAGCAGCAGCAGCTTTGCTCAAACGTATGGCAAGGGCTCACGTTGGCATACGACCTAGTTATGGGAGTATTAGAACCACGAAAGAATTTTGAGATTTCACAAAAATAGTTTTGACCAGACTTCTGGAGTTACCTCAGAACAGCTAATAACTTGGCGAGTCGTATTAAAAGCCCAATTCATGTCATCTTGATACATATTCCGTATTCAGACACCATGTTCCATACTACTACAAATCCCCCAATCGCAGGTATCATGTACATCCCAGCGAAAAACATGAACGCCCCGAGCAAAAGATAAGTCATAAAACGGTCACTTACTTTTCTCTCCTTGCCTGGGGGTCGGTGTTCTTCTTGTGGCCCACTGTTCAATCTCCAAAGAACTGGCCTGGATTCCACAAATATTGTTGACATAGAGCCAAGACCAGGGCCGGCGACAGACCCCAAACAAAGCCAAAGCATAGTCCAGACCCGTTGATGAGGTGCGCTTTTCCCTGGCTGGAACAAGGACATGGCGCCGACAATAGCAACCGGCGCTGCAGCAATGGCGCCGGCGATATACAGCGGTATTGTCGTTCGCGCTGTATCCTTTTCGGAACGAAACAAAAACTCAAGGGTCATGGGTGTGAGTTTATTTTCTCGGAGGACAGTTCCGTAAGAGTAGATGACACGTTCTTCGGTCTCTTTGCTAATTCGGCCCACTGCTGAATCCAAGGGGTATCTATGCGCCAACCCATTTTCCTTCAGTTTATTTCGTAGTTTGTCCAGTGCAGGAGAGTTAACTAGAAACATCGTCGAGTACTGGGGGCATATCAGATTCCCCATCAAGTTCAACATGGACATCAAAATATACGGCGTGACCGTGAATCCAAACGCCGCATACCCGTATGTGGCAATTTGGTTCCCTCTTGTTTCGTAAAGAGTAAGAGCAGCGTAGACGAGTTGGCCAACAGATGCGAAAATTTTGAGCATGTTATGGCTGGAAGCTACAGGGCCCTCAGTCTTGTGTCTTGGTCGAAAAGTGGCGGTAAATGTATGCTCCATCCTTTCTTTAAATCCCCCGCCCTGGGTTACAGGAATGTCGTCCTCAAAAGTTACCCATTTTGGCAAGACCACGAGGCGATATCCTTTAGGTAGCCGTGAAATGCCATTCACGTGGGTAGTTGATATATCCGGGGGGAACACTAAAAAAAAGGTCAGAAGACTAGTATACGCAAAGTAGCTCGGGTGAAATTTTCATCTTACCCTCATCTCCTTCTTCATCAAGCACCTCCCTGGCCACAGTATCAACTACACTGATGCTTCCTTTCGTCCTGGTATCAGTGCAAGTGACACAGATTCCGCCTCTGCATATGCAGCCTGTTGACTGTGGTCTGGGTTGCATTGGATCACAGACTTCTGAAATGCCATCTTGCTTGACAATGGATCCCCCGGCTTCAGCGTCATCTTCTTCCGAGAAGGTGATCTCGTCCGGCTTAAAAATCAGACATATAGCCCCGGCTCTGGCTGCTTTCGTCAGTTCTGTCGGAGCAAAACAAGCCAGGCTGCTGACAGCATGAACTGCTACCAAGACGCCAGCCCCAGGAAAACATAGAGCAAGTAGTATGCTGACAGCCCACGAGAGACTGCTCTGTCCCGGTCTTCCGATAACTGTTGCCGCATGAGATACATAATTCCCTAAGAAAAATACCATGATATCCTTCCATTCGGCTGGCTTGCACATGAGACTGCAGTCGCCATGATGGGTGAAGCCGGGGACTTGGATTGGGCAACTTGCGTCTTCCATCTCTACTCCATTGGATGAGTAACAACCAGTAAACTTCGACAAGGGATACAGAGTATTTCAAGAGATATTTCCCTAGGTAAGTCTATCACAGCTTCAAGAACAGACCAATTCAGCCTCAACCTTGAGCCGGAGGGTGCAAATGTCGAAGGCGGAACGGCAAAGCATGCCTGGGTAGTTGCCTCTTTATGTTTCTCATGTTTCATTGCAGGCCCCAAGCAAGCTGCACAGCTGCGCCATGAAGCATCAAACCCGCATCTCACCCCCGTTGGTTATTGGCAGCCTTGTTTTCTGCAGCAAGTCGGCGGCTATCAGAGCTGAAAATAGACGAACCCCGGTCAAGCACAACCCCTGTGAGCCGCCAGGCTCTCTTTCGGGCCCAGCAAACGATTTCATTTCTCTCGGCTGGAAGCGTCGCATTCGTCCTGGCCATATGTGTAAGCAAGCTGCACAATGCGGCGAATTCACGCCTTTGGGGGCTATTAAATTCGAGCCTCTCGAACAGTTGAATTCGGGCCTCCGAAGCCGCTATTGCTGTCCGATTCGAGACTTTTAAAGCTCTTGAGTTCGGCCCTGCCGCTGCTGTTGGATTTGAGCACTTTGAAGCTGTTGAGTTTAAACCCCTTGGGCTGCTGCTGCTGAATTTGAAGCTTTTTAGCTGGGTTGATGCGAATTGCTCGGCGACCCACTCCTTTCGCTCGCACCCCACAAGGATACCTGCACGGGTAAAATACCAAGTCCAGCGGGACACCGTATGTACTATTACTAGATTAATAATAAAGATACAAGAGCTATAAGAAAGTATAGGGCTTTATTTTTTGAGGAGAATTAAGGGTAAAACTTGAGAGAATATGTGCACTATATGCAGTAAGAAGAGGTATATAAAATAAGGGGTTGATTGAAGCTGCTAGAAGTTGCCTAGATATAAGTACCTACCTAGGTACCTAAGTAGGTAGGCAGTATGTACGCACTGCCACGCTTGCTATTGATGGAAGTAATAGTAGAACCAGGAAAGCATTTCAGGATTACATACGAGATATTTTTAACCAGACTTACTAAGTTGCCTTGGAACAGTTAATAACTCGGTGAGTTATTAAAAAAGCCCACTCTTTTATTGCTGGAATGAAGCCATATTCTGCAATAGGGGTGGGTAGATTGGAGGGAAAAGCAATGCAACTATCTGACTTTTTTGCTCTTGTTTTGGATTTCAATTGAAAAAGGCTTAAATTAGCTTCTCGAAATTTCCGAGTATAAAAAGCGGGAAAACCTGTGTCATGTTCTCCTTCCCGTCGGTCCTTGTCACGTGATGGCCTTGTCCAAGTTGAGTCCCAAACCTGTTCACGAAAGCCTCGGTCTCATCCCTCACAACGACCTGCGCCGACGGCACCAATATCCGTAACCATGTCGTCGACATTAGTCACAGGATCATCAAGTCAGTTGACCGACACAAAATTTTCCGACGTTATTCCTTCCGTCGCCGTGATCGATACGCCTCTATCCAAAAGCATCGCCCTCCTTCGACCGGGTCTCATACTGGGACTCCTCGCCCTACGTTTCAATTCTCTCGTCGCTGATCCCGTGCCGACTCTCCAGCTTGCGCTCCCTGCTGTCGCCTTGGTCCAGACTGTATATGCGATTATTTGTCTTCCCGTTGCTGGCTCTCAATCCGCCAAGGTTGTGAGGAAGCCTCGTCCCGGGGAGAAGAAGAAGGCTGACATAAATGGACCAAACACCATCTCGGTATGTACTATGAACGGCGCCTTTTTTTCCCCTTGAAAAATGGGCGTGGTTGCAAAGTATGCTCTTGTCGCTAATTCAAGATGGGTTGCCACCAACTAGACAGCTATCCTCGCTTTACTCCTAAGCGCAATCGCCACCCCGGCTGTGTACATTCTCTTTGTTCTATTTGGCGCTCCTTTTCTCGATCACGTCGAACACACGCTTCTCTGCTCTGCACACTTCTCGTTGCTCGCTCTCTTCCCTATATTCTACTCGAGGGGTGTAAAGGCCGAAACCCTTGTCGCGGTGGCCGGTGCTTCAGCGCCTCTGGACGAAACATTTGGAGGACTGGTTGGTGCTGCAGCTGGGGCATGGCTTGGAGCAGTTCCCATTCCACTGGACTGGGATAGAGAGTGGCAGAAATGGCCAGTCACGATTGTGGTCGGCATGTTTGCAGGCTCATTGCTGTGCAGCTCGGTGTCGGGGACGTTGCTCTTTGGCAAACGGTTGAGCAGCAATGAAGAAAAGAACGAGTAATTAAGAGTAGGCCCCTCTACAAGGTGAATTGATACAATAATGTCTCTAGGTGGCTACAGAAGTACATACATGTCACCCCACGTCGAAAGCCTGCAAGCAAATCCATGCGTCCCTATTCAATGGCATGCCATTCGTCTAGATACAATCATGCGGCGGCAGGTGAGTAGTGCTGCCACATAAAATTTAGACGCGGCGTCTATTATGGCAGTCGCATGACACATGGAATGAGGATGGCACACAGGACATTTCAGAAAACTATGATTAATGGGTATCTAATAGCTGCCCTGAGGCATTACTTCCAAAGGTAGCGTCAAGTTATTGGCCATACATCCTCATACCGTGCATACACTGCCCCTTCCAAACCACAGAGAAAAAAATAGAAGCAGGGGTAGGCGAAACCGTACAAGTCATAAGCTACCCGTAGAGACTCGCCCCAAACAGCCAACTGAATATGAGATCGAAAGAGAAGAAGGGTTGCAACGGGTTGGTTCAAAGCCTTGAATATCTTAGGTTCGCATCATCATGCAGACATGGACGCAATTCGCCAGCGCCGCCGGTGTTTAGCGTGAGTAAATGACCCAGAAGGCGTGAAAAAGACCAGGAAAGTAACCTGGGAGTAAGAAACGAGTTTGTTAGCAAAGGTCATCGGTAGTAGAGGAAGCGTCTGTTCCGGACGGCGGTCTGGATAAAGGCGATGCTGCCATGTTGCCTAGAGGCTTGGCACGTACCCAAGATTGTGAGAATGACGTTGATCCAAAATTGGCCAGAGCAGCCAACCTCAAGGAACACACCCAGAGGGGGCAGAATAATGGCAAGGATGACCTTGCAAATGTCGCTGGCGTGAAAGGTCAGTCTCATATCTCATTTTGTCACAGTTTCTCTCGCTGGTGTCTGCTTGCTGTGGTAATCATGACTCCGTGAGCGGCGCGGATATGGTCTCTTGAAGAAACCCAGCCAGATCCGAGCTGCACTCAGCCAGATCCATTGGCCACCAGCAGCAAAATAGTCGTTGAGAGGCGTCTCGCTTTCGAGCGCATCAACTCAAAGCTTACCTAGCGGTGACAGGCATGTTGTCGGTTTAAAGCTAACAGCTTAGGGAGTTCTAGTTGATGCGGGTGTGACGTTGACGAAAGATGTTTTGAAGGAGACCGAGCGAGGGGAAGGCGGGCGGAGGGGGGAGGCAGCTTACTTATTCTGTTTTCCAAACAGCAGAAGCGATCTTTCCCAAGCCAAGTGTTTTTGCCTTTGCCAATGCTACTTAGTATTACCACGCCGACAGCAAACCCAGGTTCGGGTCGCGCGGCGGGACCGCCGATGCCGTAGCAGCATGTGTGTCTCGAACCATGGATTTCCATCCCGCCGACTTGTTATTGCTCCCTGTCTTTCCGGTACCCAGTTATCGCAGCTACTAAAGCGCACAAGTCGACAGGGTCTCCATGCACTCTGGGGGCCTGCCCAATCGACGATGCGTAACTGCATCGCCACCAACCAGCCCGGCCGCACTTCCCACAAGCCTTCTCCTGCGTCATCGACTCGCTCCCGGAAGGAAATGAAGCCAAGATAAGCAAGTTTGCGAGCTTCCCTCGGAACATGGTTTCCACGCTGTGTCGCGCGACAAGAAAGCTCCTCACCCCTCTAGTCTGGCAACACTGTTGTCTCGTCTCAGCAACAACCTCAAACGTTCGCTCCAATCGACCCCGCCTCGAACAATTCAGCCTTGCCAGATGCGGCACGAAGCTCCAGAGGGGAAAAATCAAAAAATCACACAAGTGATCAGGAGTCTGTAAGCCCAACCTGCAATACGTCATGGCACGGTCCCCCTTCGAAATGCAACGACAGGGATTAATTGGTTTGCACCGCCACAGATGGTGCATGTGCAGCAGCTGACGCTACAATTAGCTTCCTCAGCAACCACACATCCACCATCGAACCGCTGCCAAGCCACAGATGAGCCTGGTGCCAAGAAGACAAGCCACAAATTGGGACAGGGCCAGCAGCTTTACCTTGCTCCATGACGGCAGAGGGTGGCCTCATCATGATGATGACATATGCTGTGCACATGTTTGTCATGGTGTCACGGCTGAGGATGCAATCAGCTGCGACTGGCATGTCAATTGACAGCCCATCCCAAGATGAGACCCGGAAAAAAATCAAATGCGCCGGTTAAGAAGGGTCGACAAACCCCAGCCATCCGTTATATCCCCAGATGGCCCTTCCACCGCCAGACTCCAGACCGATAGCTCACCGGGCACCCAGCCGGTCCGAGTGCGCAGTGCATCTGAATACCAGACCCGCTCTTGGGCGAACATTTGTTGGCGCTGTATTCCCTCCGGCGCGCACCGGGTGCATCAGACCAGACCCGTCTGCACCACACGCTTGCCAGTTGCAGCGTGGTATTCCTTACTCCGTCCCAACCACGATACTCCGTACGGAGGTACATAGTATGCGCCGTCCCTCTTGCCCGGTGGCTGAGCGAGACATCATTTCAGCCCTAGCTTCGTAATTTATGCAGCGGCCATTTAAAACACGTCGCTCCTGCCACCCCCACCAACACACGGGCTGGCCTCGGCCATGCGCCGAGCCTTCCAACGACACTCCGTACTACGTACAGTGGGCGTAGCTGTTTATGTGCCCAGACATTTCAAAATGCTGCGGTCCACTTAGAGCCCAGCAGCTGAGGGCCAAGACTGCCAAAGACCAGGTTGAGTCCGGTCGGAGTCATCGGCGATGATGCAAAGTCCTGCCTGTGTTTGCCACTCAAGAAAAATAAATACATAAATAAAAAAATCAATATCTGCGGAGTACCAAGTGACATTTGGGAACGGTTGCACAGCACCCAAGGTTATCCCCTGCGCTGAATCAGGCACACCTTGTACGAGATTGGGCCTCGTCGAGTTTGTGCGTGTCCATTGAACCTTGACACCCTAGAGTCCTAGACTCTGCCAATGAATGGACAGGTTCACAATCTTTCCGTCATTCATCACCCAACGACACAAGACACCGCCCGCGTGGAAGCCCTTCGCTTGCGCGTCATGGCTGTACGTATACTAGTACTACATAAATGCCATGTGGCATGCTTCCCTTGTAGACTAGGCGCGGGTCGATGCAAGAACAAGACAAGAAGCATCCTTTGAACTTTGTCTATTCCAGGATCCCTCGCACAAGCAAGTTCAAGTTTATACCTATTACCAAAACCGCCATCTGACCAAAACGCCCGACTCCAAAACCCCCCTTCTGCGCCCCCCTTCTAAAACACTAAAATACCCCCAACTCGGTCACGGTCAAAGTAATTCTCCCTCCCCGTCCTCGACAAGATCATCATCTTCTTCTTCCCAATCCACATTGGCTGCCATCTCCTCTGCGCGTCTCTGGACCTCCGCCAACCCGGACAGCTCAGCAACGTAATCCTTCTCCTGCAGTGCCCTCTTGACAAAACCCCATCCATCTGTGCGGTACGCGTCCAACACCTTGGGACTACATGCGCTGCAGCAGTCGTACGATTGACCCCGGATATTCATGTTTTGGAACGTAGATACGTAGCCGCGGATTTGGTGGGGGACCAGACCTAAAGGATGGCTGGGAGGGTCGCGGTCGGGAATACTTCCTGGCGTATGTTGGGGTGCTGGTGCCTGGTTTCGGAGCGGGTGTTGGAGGAGACTAGTGAACAGCTCGACCAGGAGGGCAGATGCGATGGCTGCGACGCCGGGCCGGGTTACTGTACATTGCTGGTCGAGGGTCTGGTCCTTCATTGACTGTCATGTCGTAAGTATCTAATAATCTTTCCTATTGAAAGTGAGGAGTGAGGGGGAAGGGGAGCGTGGTCTGGTGATGTGTAGACTTACATCGGCTGGGGCCACGACGTCGTTGCAAAAGTAACAGCCGAGAGATGTCTGTCCCTTCTCCCTCGTCTCGGCGCCGTGACGCATGACGACATAAGAGTCGAATCCAAGAGCGGCATTCATGACAATCTTTGCTCGAGCCTTTCCTATCACCGTCGGTAGCCAACGCGACTCACGGGTATCCATCAACAGGAAAATAACGTCGTGGTCCTCAATCAAGCCTTCGAGCTTTTCCAAGTCGGCCCTCGTCTTTTCCTCGTCTGTAAATGCATGGCCAAGCATTGGCACAGAGAGGGCATGTCCTTCGCTTTCAACACCGGGGTAGATGCGCTTCAGCATGGCCGCTGCGGCTGCTGCTTTTGGCTGCCCGCCATTTGTGCAGTCGTTGAACTCGAATAGTGGTTGTCGTACGGGGTTCGAGTACGAGACCCTGCCGTAGTCGACGAATGTCACCTTCCTCACACCCCAGCCTAGCAAATTCCTCGAGACGTAGCCTCCCAGTGTTCCGGCTCCCAGCAGGAGACATTTTGTGTTCTTGATAAGGTCCAAGTCAAGGTCGGGTGCGAGACGCCACTTCATCAGCTTCAGGTTCAAGTCGACGGATGAATCGGCCAGTCTCGTCGGGTCCATGTAGTCTGCGAGATTTGCCTGCTGGGCTTGAAGTTTTCCGTTTCGCGACCTCTCCCACCCCGTAACCTTGGGCATTTCTCTCATCTCCATCGTTTCTACGGAGTCCATTTCGATGGGGAGCACGACACTCCTGGCTTCGTGTCTTCGGGCCCAGGTGTCTCTGTAGCACAGAATCTTGGCCCTTGACGCCCGGAAGCGCTGTCGGATGAGAACCAGGAGATTTCTAAGTGGCCAGCCAGGTCCTTCGGCGTAGGTGGATGGGTCGACGAAAGCGACGTAACGATCCTCCTCGGGGATGTCGTTGAAGAAGCCCTCCTCGAAACTGCCCAATGTACTGACTTCCCATCTAAAACCTATACTGTTCAAGCCTTCGATATCTTCGGTTTGGATCTCTTGACCACGAACCTTTTTCGCGAGAAAAAAGCCATGTTGACGACTGTCAACGCTATATCGCCACGTCCCAACCCTGTCGACCAGTTCTGTGCTTTCATCGGCGGTGAAGCGTTCAACAGGTCCGGTCCGCTTCCATTG